GGGACCTCTCGCTGCTTCTTCGGTGTCACTGTATCTTCTCTCTCTTCCCAGGCTAGCTAACGGGATCGGGGGACCATGAACTGGGGGGTGTTCGAAGGGCTCCTCAGTGGGGTCAACAAGTACTCCACAGCCTTCGGCCGCATCTGGCTCTCCCTCGTCTTCATCTTCCGCCTGCTGGTCTACGTGGTGGCGGCCGAGCGGGGCTGGAGCGACGACCACAGGGGCAACCTGCCACTGCATCTACCCCAACCCCGGCAAGAAGCGGGGGGGGCTGTGGTGGACCTACCTGCTCAGCCTTGTCTTCAAGGCCGGCGTGGACGTGGTCTTCCTCTACATCTTCTACCACTTGTACAGGAACTACACCCTGCCCCGGGTGGTGAAGTGCGAGCTGCCCCCCTGCCCCAACGTGGTGGACTGCTTCATCTAACCTGCCACTGCATCTACCCCAACCCCGGCAAGAAGCGGGGGGGGCTGTGGTGGACCTACCTGCTCAGCCTTGTCTTCAAGGCCGGCGTGGACGTGGTCTTCCTCTACATCTTCTACCACTTGTACAGGAACTACACCCTGCCCCGGGTGGTGAAGTGCGAGCTGCCCCCCTGCCCCAACGTGGTGGACTGCTTCATCTCCCAGCCCACGGAGAAGAACATCTTCACCCTCTTCATGGTGGTTACCACCTGTGTCTGCGTTGTGTTGAGCCTCGTCGAGGCTGCCTACCTGATCGGCAAGCGGTGCCGTGAGTGCCTTCTGGCCGGCGAGCCGGCGGCACAGCCAGGACTGCGCGCTCTCCCACGCCGAGCACGTGGGCATGGAGGGGCAGGTTTTCCATGGGGCAGACTACAAACCCCCCACGTCCTCCAGCCTCTCCAGCCCTGGCACGTTGCTCGAGGAGGAGGCTCTTCCCTAGAATCTGTAGTAAGCACTGCTTTTCTTTTCAGACTGTGATCTGAGATTTGTGATCTCATTTCTGTATCTTTGCTATTTATGTCATACTGCTTAGATTCAGCTACTCTTTTGCTTGCAGCCTCAAATTCACTATCAGAGCTGTCATTTTCATAAGTCTTTTGCTCCTCCTCCTCCTCCTCCTCCTCCTCCTCTTCCTCCACACAGGAGCGCTGGGGGTGGCAGCACCTCAGAGTTGGGCTGCACCCAAGGGTTCTCTGCATCTCCTGTCCTGGGGAGGACACGTTACATTCTTCTGCTGAATTTGGGGTAAACCCAGTGTTGTAGGACACGTACAGCCCTTAAGAGCCGACAGGGACAAGCAGCTCCGCGGCGGCCATGAACCAGCAGCAGTGCGCAGAGGTTGAGCCCGTCCCAGCCGGGCTGGCTTCGCTGGTCCTAGGGTGTATCCTTGCAATGAATAAAAATTTCTGTCCCTCAGAAGTGACGGCCAGAGCAGTTGTTCTCCTGCTCCTTGGGCACAACACTGCCAAGAGGGGAGTAAGGGCTGCATCACCCCTGGAAAGGCATCGCTCCCATGGGCACCTCCGGGCTGGGTTTGGACCAGCTGCATTGATAAAACACCGGCTGGAGGCTCCAGCCTGCTGGAGAAAGGCCACTGAAAATTGGAACCGCCCTCGGAGCTGGACACAAGTGATGGCCTTGGCCGGAGGTGGGAATGCCATGGCTGGGTGGGTGGGTTTTGGGATGGAGGGGGTGTTACGAGGCCCGCGCTGCCCAGGTACGG